AATAGTTTTTTTATTTAGTATATAATAGTTTGTTTCATGAATAATTCTTATACTAAGATTGTCCGAAAATAAATAACGGTTTTTAATCACAAAGTTCTGTGCATAACCCAGCTGAGAATAATTTTTATTAACCCTCCGTGGACTATGCCGGAGTCACACGTCATACGCTCGCGAGAGCAAGACGCACACAGTGATGGAGCTGTCCGTGTAATTCGGGAACTGATGACATGTGACAGTGTATGAAACCGGCCGGGCCAAGACGCCGCAAAACTAGGGGAGAGTTGCCTCTTTTGGACCACTTTTTTATTTTTCTCTCTTACACACTCATAGAACATCGCAGGATGCAAAGAGAAACTGAAAAAAGACAAGCATTATACGTAGATTGTATGGTGTATTGGTCGTTTTGAAAAAACGTGTGACAAGAGTAATATCTTAAAAAAACTAAACTAATGACTTCGGTTCATTACAAGCAACTGGTTTCCTAATTTGGACCACCGGTTTCCTACATTGGACTGCTCCTAAAAACCAATAAAATTAAATCTACAATTTAAAAAACACTGTACAGTACATTGAAAAAAGTAGAAACAGTAAGAAAAAAGTATCGTACGGTGCACGTGGTGCATTAGTACGTTTTTTTAGTGGGTTTCCCATTTTCCATATTTTCGTGTTGTCGTCATTTTGAATCTGAATAAAGTGAAAAATTTAACAGAAAAAAACCTTTTTAGTATACTTTGAACTATTTTTATATAGGATATAAACGACTTGTAAGTTACACCAGAAAAATATATTTTCATTGTTATATTTAAACGAAAATGGGAATACTTATACTAGTATTATTTAAAATTATGGTACTTACAAGATGTAAAATGAAATTTACTTGAAATAGGACGAAAAATAATGATCACGCACCACGTATTTCTATATCTTGACGACGTGAAACGACAAACAAATGAATTACCTGTTTCATTGTTCTCGCACATGTTATTTCCGCTCCTTAAATCAATATACGCAACGGAATATCTGTAAATATATTTCTTTATAGAGATACACAAATGGTCTAATCTAGGAGCCGGTCCAATATAGGCAACTCTCCCCTATTAATTTACGTCTTCGGCTCACTCTATTTTACTCTTTTTTACTCACTGTCCTTTCTTCTAATCGACAAAACTTCTACAGTGCCGGTAATGGCCTCAAGCTCGGTCCATCGTGACTTTGTGTTAGTAACCTATTAATGTGAGTCAAAAATGATCCGGCTTCGGACGCCCCGCGAGTTCAGTAATCGGAGGGTTAGGAAAAATAACAAAACCATTAAAATCTATACATTTTAGCCATCAATATGTACAAGTCTGTTTATTCCATTACAATAGAATCTGGAGTTCTAGAGTCTATAAATTACGTAATAGTTCCTTGATTGGTGAAGATACTTGCCTGTATAAAATTCTCGAAATGTTTGAAGAAATAGTAGTCAGTTGGTGAAAGGTCTGATGAGTAAACAAGACGAGGCGGAGTTTCATAGCCGAATTCATTACATTTTGGTAGCTTCATATGTGGAACTAGATTATTAAAAACAAGAATTCTGATTATTTTTACTTAACAGAGATGGTAAATATTCTTAAAATACAAATAAATGTTTCTACACAACCCGATACCAGAAGGCATCATGGAACTTTTGCAAGAAAATTTAAACAAAAATGTGACACGCTACACTTTCTTGTCGGTTGTATAGTACCACCAAATATTGGGCTGTCCCATAAGGCTTTTTCCGGGTTCGTTGTTTTTTTGAACATTTTCGTGATTAAATCGTAGCAGGCCCGAGAAGTTTTTAGAATGTGCGAGTATGTGTACAAACCTTCCCCGTAATGGGTATAAATTGGCGTAACAGGAAGATTAATAGAGAACGAAAATGGAGTAACGTGAACTGCTGCGAGCTATTATGTTGTATGATCACCGGCTTAACACCTGTTCAACGGAGACTGTTAAGAAGATCAACGCTCCATTCGGGCCAAGTACTAGTAGCGATCGGACGGTACGCTTATCGTATAAGTGACTCGATGGTCAGCGAAAGTCCTTCTTTTGAAAGGCTCGACCTTCGACGAAGACGCTCTACGCGGCGAATTCGAGCTGCAACCGAATTCCAGCACGCGAGATTTGGAGAATGCTCTTCGGGAACCCCGTACAATCATCGATCGCCACCTTAATTCGATGGGCTACCGCAAAGTGATGTTGCGATGGACGTCGCACGCGTAGGTCGATCACGACCGGGCCGCTCGTGCCAGCATTTGTCAAAGTTAATTGCTCCGCCAGCACTGGCAGGTCTATCTTAAGGAAATCATCACTGGAGATGAAAGCTGGGTACGCTACGAAAATGATACACGCCACGCCTTTGGAATTCCTCGCGGCAAAGTCCTGCCAGAAACCGAAGGCACAGCCAAAGCCCGATCCACACGGTTGGAATTTGATTCTGTCGGTTTTTTTTGGGACTCGCAGGGAATGCTCTTCTGAGAACTCCTGAAGCCCAACCAGACTATCAACGTCAACCGTTACAGGGACCAGCTCCGCAAGCTAGCCAATGCCTCGCGAACAAAACGGCCGAAACAACTCGGCGACCTGCACGTTCAGCGGTGTCACTCCGACGGAGCGCATTGCCGTAGCGAAAGGGTTAAAGGATATCTGCTGGGCCAGAAGTTTGACAATTATACCACCCTCGAAAAGTATATTGGGGACATTTTTTCCATCCCAACCTCGATCTTTCTGGGAGGAAAGCGTTCAAAACTTGCCAAGCAGATAGCTGAATGTTGTTGATAATGACGGTGATTATATCGTAGAATAAAAACTATATTTTCATCAGTACAAAATAAAAATAAAACTGGTTGAGAATGGCAAGGACTTATGGGACAGTCCAATAAAAGATAGCAGGAGTTCCGTAAACGACACAGTATTTAAATGTTCTCACATTCGACGTTGATGGCGGTTGCTTTCAAACCAGGAGTCGAACCCGTGTCTTTTGATTTCCTTGTGATGAAATTTGATTTTTTTTTCTCCTAATACATGTAATTCAAACGTAAAGAAAGGTGGCTGCCGCGCTCTACCGCTCACAGTGTCTTGTTTCTTTTCTGACAATGGAGACGGAGTGGAGAGTCTCGATTCACTTGTGAACGAATCGATTACCTGTTGGTAGCTGGCTCTTTTGTTTCGCCTCAAGCTTACAGCGAGAGAATACCGTAGCTTCATGTTCATTTTAATTTCATTTAGTAGGTGACGTATTATTATACTATTTAATTTATAGTAAGAAATTTTATAATGTACAAATTGCCTCGAAAATCTCGAATATTGAACTCTCTCATACGCAGAATCGCTCAGCCACGGTATCCGGTATAAATGTAAAAATTTCGCAATTATTTTTCAGTAAAACTTTTACCTAGTTTAGTGAGAATTTTTTTGGTGAAAACGAGACCAAGCAGGACAATATTTGCGTAAGATTATTTGAATACTCGTTTGTTAAAATAAAATATTTATAATCGTAATAAACTTGCAAATAGCGTGTCCTTTGTCATCTTATGTTTTGTATTCTATTTAACATACTTATTATAGGAAGTCTAAGCTTGCAAATACGTTTTATATTGACTGGAGTATTATCTCGAATGTTATCATCCGAAAAATCTCACTAAGTGTTTGGCGGTAGTTTCATAAAAGTATAATAAAAAGTAAAGAAATTGTTGATTTTATTTTGAATTCTCTTATTTTTTCTGTCAATCTTCGTTCATTTCTGTCATTCGACTAAACACAGTTCCAAATGATGGGATTTTTCGAAATTTTCGATACAATATTGTATCGTTCTTTTATTAATTACAGTATTAAAAACTGAAATTTTTATTAAATATTTATCGCTAACCAAATTAATATTTTTACGATGCAACGTCTGGAGAGGGGAAATATTGTTCAGATTTTAGACACACTAAGAATCCGATTGAAAATGTCAAAGCTGTAACTGTAGTGAAGAAAATGATAAGTTGAACATATTCAACACAAAACTTAAGTAAAACATCCACTTACGACCAAAGGAACAAGCGAACTCGTGTAACTCTGGCTATTAATGTGCGTATCCACTTGTTGCATATCCTGGTATCGTGTTCACTGTTGTGTATCACTGTGGACGGCAAACGTTGCATTGTTGCGAATGTCAATGAATAATACGCACCGGTGATACGATACGAGGATACGCAACAAATGGATACACACCTTTAGGTTGTATCGTATGAAATAGGCGGCTTATAGAATAGGACAATTTTTTATCATCAATTCAAGCTATAAAGTCAAAATAAAAACGCTGAACGGGAAATAATTCCTATTCAGTCCGAACATCTACCGCTTGTTGTTTGCAATAAATATTAGAAATACTAGAATAACTGGAATAAAAACGATAAAAAAAAGTTTTTTTTAACATTAATAACATTGTCGACACAATTGATGAATTTTAATTTCCAATTTTAGAACAATGACATAATTGCATGAATGGTAAATTTTGGGATAAATTTCAGCAACATCCTTCTGTGATTAATGCAGCTTTAAAATAATCCAAATATTGCAACAATTTCTTATTTTCAACGTCGTTAAACTTTGTTTTCATTATTTAATTACAAGTATGACTAAATAAAATTGTTTTTTTGTGTCATTGTTAGTCCGGAACAGCGATATGTTTCATTCAATTCGATATAGAGTGACTCAGAAATCTGTTAACGGGAAGTTACTAATTCATTTGACCAAAACACCTAGAAGTTTTCAAATGTAATATCACCTTTATGTAAAATGTATAATGAAACGACCTCTAGAAATAAAACTAAAAAGGATAAATAAATAGGAATCACATTACAATATGTTTACAGTTCTCGTAATTCGCTCGATCCAAACGTTGCACCGAATAGAATAGAAATTGGTAGGACGTAAGTGTTTTACTCCGACCGAAAAATAAAAAATGGTAATGTCCGTTGTAAAATGTACAGGGGAGACGCCGTTCCGCTGTCAGTACTGTCCAAAAGCATTTACGCGGAAGGACCACCTGGTGAACCACGTCAGGCAGCACACGGGTGAGTCACCGCACAAGTGCCAGTATTGCACCAAATCCTTCACGAGGAAGGAACATTTGACAAATCACGTGCGTCAACATACAGGCGAATCGCCACACCGATGCCACTTCTGCTCCAAGTCATTTACTCGTAAGGAGCATTTAACGAATCATGTCCGTATCCACACCGGCGAATCACCGCACAGGTGTGAGTTTTGTCAGAGGACATTCACTAGGAAAGAACACCTTAATAATCATCTCCGTCAGCACACTGGAGACTCCTCCCATTGTTGTAACGTGTGTTCGAAACCATTTACAAGAAAGGTAAGCTCGTTTAAACGATGTCTTTTTATATTACTAAGTAGCGATCGAACCGATACTCATACATATTGATGGTATTCAGAAAATTCGATACTAAAGCACTCGATAGGAAGTATCGAAAACTATTGAAATTTTAGGTACTAAATGTCAATTATCGATATCGATAATTCTTAAGAACAATACCAAACAAATACAAATACAGAGGACTCTAACTATATTGCCACGCTAGGCACTTCCCCTTCACACGTACTTTCGAGTACACAAATTCGCTCTCCCACCACGTTGCGTGTGCCGACGCACCAGCACGGTCCAGCTGTTGCGCAGGCGCGGAGGCCGTCGCTATGACGATAGAATTTAGCATGGAGGGGGCTCTTAACTCATTGCCATTTTACTACAGTCCCAACCATGGCAATACATGTCAATTATAGTCTAAGTATTCGTATACTATGTGTGTTGATTGACATTAGTACTGACAAATATACCGGAACAAAATATGATAATGCTACTAATGTCTATACACAATACTCGACTGTACTGTGCATGTCGTAAAAACTGTATGAATACTTTTAATCCTCATATGATTCTCAGAAATAGTAACATAAACACCCTCGGGTGATATTTCACCCATTTTTTTCTTTATACTCCAATTAATGTTATTATTAACCTATTATACTGTATTTCATAAAAAGTTAGTTACATTTGTTAACTTATTCCTTACATTTTGCAATTACTACATATACAAATAGCATTTTGAACAACTTATAGTATAGGTCTGTGACAGTATTGCTTATAGAATCACTGAAGCGAAATTTTCGAAACGAAAATTTTATATCCAACGATATCTTTACATATCGAGTGATCATGAAAAAGATTTTACGATATAAATATAATTCTTACAAAATAAAACCATGTGCATAAAAAGCACTATATAATAACTTATTTTCACCAGAGTATTTAATGTATTTTATAAGTGAACAATATTCAGGTGAAATATCACCCAGGGAACAATTCCAATACTTTCCTTTTTACAACATTCTGGTTATAAATAAAACGTTAACTAATTGTGTTTTACATACAACTCTATATTTTAGACAAATACATCAAGTTATAACATACTTAGAAAGAAATCAAGCTTATTACAGCATAGAAAATGGGTGAATTTTCACCCGAGAAGCGTATGGAGGTTAAGTTCATTGGTCTTGAACGATCGTTCAAATATGTTGCGTTTATTATTGTCCTTCTTATAATCACAGTGCGTTAGCTCTTTCGAATTGTATTGCAGTAGCTCATTGAACTACACAATGTAAACTGCACGGGGTGAGTTACTAGAAGCGCAACACCTAAATATCTTTGTTAAATTAAAAAACAAAAAGGACAAATGGATAAATGTAATTATATGAACAAATTTTTCATTCCAAAATCGTGGGTGGTTTGTTAAAGGTCACCCGGCGTACCAGACTTCGAAGCATCGATGTGAAGAACAGTTCAGTGACATATAATCTCGTGCTATTCTGATGTTCTTGAACTTGAGTATATATGATTACATTTATCCTTTTAAACATTAAAATTTTGCTTATTAGGCCCTTTTCTATCCTGAAATTGAACGGAGATATTTCTAGCAACTATTAAACTTCACTTTAGTATGTTTCAATGGTCTAAAGAAAAACTCGACCTCATGTTTACTGAAATTAGTCGAAAAAACGTGACCGAATGTTTCAAATTTAAGGAGGATATTATTTCTAGAGATTTCATTCTCGTGTTACAGGAACATCTTGTAAATCATATGCGATGTCATACTGGCGAACGTCCATTTGTATGTACCGAATGTGGAAAAAGTTTTCCACTAAAAGGTAATTTACTTTTCCACATGCGTTCGCATAATAAAGGAAGCAACGCTGAACGACCGTTCCGTTGCGATCTGTGTCCGAAAGACTTCATGTGCAAAGGGCACTTGGTATCGCACAGACGGTCGCACTCGGACGAACGACCGCACAGCTGTCCGGATTGTGGTAAAACATTTGTCGAAAAAGGGAACATGCTGAGACACTTGAGAAAGCATGCAGCCGAAGGACCACCGACGCAAGTCAGCACACCGTCAGCCATTCCTCAATCTGGTGTTTTGCCTATCCCAGCGGCAGCGGTTTTGGTCGGGCATCCATTGGCCCCACCAGCGCCACCTGTAGTGCCGCAGCATACGGTTGTTGTACCCACTCCGCCAGGTGTATTGACCTCTTACTAAACCAAATCGAGAAAAGGATGTGAAAGCATTTGATTAAAGAAAAGTGATGAGAGTATACATGATGAACGTTTGTATTGTTTGGTTTTTTTTTTTTTTTTTTTTTTTTTTTTTTCTTTAAACCAACAGTTCTTACGACTATGAAAGTTGATCAGAGTGTTGTTATGCGACGCAGTAGTATTTCCGTGAATGTTGTAATTACAGACCATTGTCTCGAGTGGAAACGTTTACCACAGATATTTCAACCTTAGCCCACGTGCAAACAAGTTTATGCGAACTTAAATTGAAGAATAACCGCTGATACTGTAACAGCGTATTATCCAAAGTTTCAATTTCTTCATTTCTTTTTGTATGATACTTTTCAATAGATCGTTTATGGGAAGAAAAATATTCATTGTTTTTATGTCTCACTTTATTACGCTAACTCAGGAATATATGCGGTTCTATGACGAGCACGTATAAATTTGTAGTTAATTCGATCGCAATTAGGCTCTAATTGTCGTACCAGTATGTCACGGTCTTACTTTTATAAAGTAATTTCTGATAAATGATTAAGAAAGCTGTTAGCAACAAGAATGCTAAATATGGCTTGATGTAATATGCATGTGACGGCACCTAAGGCGGTACGATCGCAATTCAAAGGATTTATGAAGGTGTTTGCTTAAAATACAAAATGTATTTTTAATTCAAATTATACAATGAACGTCAGTTTGTGATGTATTTTGGCTTACATCTTCTGTTCAATTAAATATCTCAAAGTTCATGAAATCATTCTCTTAAGGAAATCGAGTGTTGTTAAACACATCAGTTTGAGACAGTTTGCAGAACACGCGTCCTGTTTTTTGTTTCTAGGATCTTAATGGTTTAGTACTATTAATATTTGTGTTAAACTTACATTTTGTGTTATCACTTCCATAAAATTGGGCGATCTCATTAGATTCGGAGTGGTATTGTACAGTTGGATCACGTTTACTAAAATTAAGCGTATATAGTAAATATATTTGGGAACATATTTTTGAAAAATATCGTACCAATTTACTTTTTCGATACACTGAGTTTAGATATAATCGAAAAATTCATATATCGGTGCACACAAATTAAAAGCCGTACAAATGACAGTGTGTTTAATTATTTTCGTGATAAATCTGTATAAACATACTGGAGAAAGATTTTGTGTCTAAATAACATAATTTTCAGACTATGTACTGATATATTAATTCTTAATTAATTGGCGTGCAGTTTAGTTTAATATGAAATCATGATTAAAAAGATACATGTTTCATATGGATTCATGTATCAGTCGCAATTCCGCGCCAGTTTCTATTTTAGCTATAGTGATTATTTTCCATTTAATCGTAAACATTGTAATCGAGTGCAATATAACTGCCGATTTCGCTTAAGAGACATGTGCGACAAATGCCACTGTTACCCCGGATCTGAAATACGAAGAAGAAGTATCGAGCGATAGCAGTTTCGTGTGTTTGCCTGTGCTTGAATCAGAACGATGTTGGAATTAAGTTTTTTTAAAATTAATTTTAAATAATTTACAATATTTGTGTATTGTCTATTTCAAAAGGAAATGTTACAACTCTAGCGATCTTGTAAGGCTATGTATTTCGTATTTACACTTAAGATACAATGAAATTGTAAGCTTGGTTCTGCGGTGCATAGTTTGTGTCGTGCAATGTTACCTAAATGTACTGCATATTTAAAAGAGCTCTTGACAGTGAAAAGTATGGTCAATTCCTATAAATACGTTTGCAATTACATCATAACCGGTCACCGCCTTGCCAGGCTTACTTTAATTATGTATAATATTAACAATGACTATCGAATAGGTAAAAGGGGAGATGAGAAATTTAATGCGGGTGCATGCGTCGTATGGAGTTTCGTGTACGACAACGTTCGTCACTCCATAGGAGTCTAGATCAATATATTATAACAGATAATATTACTAAGTATATTTAAACAGTTAGGTATCATGTACTATTTAAAGTAACGAGGGGAAAACTAATTATATTGCAGGGTCACTGTATGAGTGACATAATGTATGTCACATACGGAATGTAAGATTTTCATTATATTCATAAGAGAAAATGCATTAAATTTATGCAAAGATACCATCTGTAAAGGAAGAACAAATATATATATGTATAATACATATATATATATTGCTCAGGCTTGTACGGGGTGTTCGGCTACTGGTAGTGTCAGAGACTTCGTGGGGTGATATTCTACGTGCAAAACTCGAACTACGAAAATAAAGTATAACGAAATTGCGTTCGAGGCTTTGTTTCCGAGTTATTAATTGTTGAAGATACGGGTACCATAGGGTAACTACATTTAATATCACCTAACACGTAATATCGCCACATATAATATCTCACGAAGAAAGTGTTAAATTATGGTGGTGCTGAATTCGATTAGTAACCAAATATGCGTAGGACATATTATGGTTGCAACGTCATACTAGCAACGTGTAGCAAATGAGAAATATTTCAATGAATGTTGATAGAATAAAAACGTCTTGAACCGTGACAGTTTTACGTCACATTGGGAGAAAGAAGGGATGTTTCAAAATTGTATGACTACATTATATTACTGGAAGTATCAAATTAACATCATGTTTCAACAATTTAATTGGTTCCAACATTTTTCTTAACGGAAACAGTTTTTTTAGGGATGGGTTTCTTGATACGCCGAAACCCCTCGAAACTTTGCACTTGTTTCGTGATTTGAAATTCTCGAAAACCAGGTAAGAAAAATATAAAATCGACGAATAAACCCCGAATATTCGGTCCCAAATGCTTCGTAAGTGTTTAATGATCGATTTTGTTATTGTATTAATTCTAGAAGTACAAGTCAAAAGCACGTGATTCATGAGAGCTTAGGGCAGTTTTTTCAAAAATTTTATTTTTCAGTTACTTATTATAGTACTATTTAGCGGTAATAAATAGTAGGAACTGCTGAACTATCAAATGTTAGTGCTAAAAAAAGGAGGAATAAATGAATATATTGTTAGGTTTGTGTTTTGTTTAACTATGGCCAATAAAGATTAAAATTTTTAAACAAAATCAGCGCTTCAAGTTTCGAGAGTTTCGGAATCTTACAAAGTTTCGGATTCGAATTCCGAGAATTTAAAAATTAGGTTCGAACCCACCCTAGTTTTTTGTCTTCTGACCAGCGTGCACTCAATACCGCCTACCTTTCTGTCTAGTAATTGCTCTCCAAATGGGGACGTGAAATTTGCAAAGCTACAGAGTTGAACTTTGTTTGCCCAGCCTGTACAAACGTGTAATAATATAAATATTTTGAAACTGTATTCTTTAATTTTTATAATAAAGACATGTTTTTAACATAATCCCGTTAAGAGAAGTGTGACAAAGAGCCTCCAACATATTCATATAGTTAGAAATACACATATAAATATAACTTTGAAAGATCATAAATATATATTTCCGGTAGGCGATATTATGTGTACCTTTTGACGATCCTGATTTTTTTAATTGTCTTCTTTCTTTTCCAATCACGATTAAAAATCTTTAGAATTTAACAGTTGTACCAGGCCGTATATGAAACACAAACTATTTCTTTTTTATCTAATTAATGATAGGCGTATTTTGCATTATTTTGCACGATTTTAGACAATACGTAATGCAGGAATTAGTCAAAAACGAAGCCGCGAACGTAATTTCGTTGTACTTGAATTTCATCTCAGTGTGTCATGTAAAATCACCACTTAAAGTTTCGGACACCAGTAGTCGTACACCCTGTATACATTACATATATACATATATATATTGAAAACGAATACAAAGAAGAAAAAGATGATGCCGCAAGAAACACACTTGGATCAAGTAATATTTCCAATGGTATGTGTAAAGAATTCCTCCGCAATTTAATCGTGGCATCGCTCCTTGCAATTTGCTATAAAATTTAAGAAGGAATAAATAGAAATAATGTTTATATGAATTATTAATAATATACGTTATACAAATAAACTTAAGAGTTGGTTCATGCTTTTAAGAGATTTAGTTCCATGCTTGTTTTGAAAAAACAGCAAGCAAATATCAGATCCAGCTGTTCTCTTTGAATGGAAGCGATTTTAAGCTGTTCAGCAGATGTGTATATTTTGAATGGAACAAATCGATACTCTGTACATTTATGTTAACTCTCGTATTCTTCATATTGTGCAGGTTACATTGTAATCTCGTATTTTCAAATTTATTAAAATGTATAGAAGCGCTTCGATTCAAAGCGAAATACGGTGGTGAAGGAAAGAATTCAGAATATGATTTACTTTAGATAGAACAAAATATGTATAGAATTTTATTATGCACCATTGTAATATTATGTATCCCAGTTGTGACACAATATACACTGGTGTTATGTTAAATGTGAACACTATGGATCTTGTCTTATATTGTATCAATTTCCCATGTTTCAGTTATCTTACAAATAAAACTAATACAGTTTTTAGTATAAACATTGATTCTATAAAAATATCTATCTGTAATTCAATTAATTACTACTTCAAAGTTTATCATTTTTCAAAAAGTTTTCTAAAATTATAAACACTGTTTGTACAGTCGAAAAGTAATGAAATTAATTAAATGTTGTTTCGTTATTAACTCACGTTTTTTTCAATGTAACTGATACAGGAAAGTATAAACAAGAATGTAGGACTTACACGGCGAATAGTATTCACTAAACTAAATAAATTCTTTCATAAGGAAGGTACGGGAAGGAGCAGAGACTGTGTTTATAACGAAACAGAGAGGGAGAAAACTTTCTATGCTTCACCAAGCATATCTGCTCAAACACTACAATGTTAGAAAGTGAAGCCCTATTTACTTTTTACAATTTTAGTGTTTGAGCAGATTTACTTCGTGAAGCGTAAAAGGTTTTCTTCCTTCATGCATAGTTCATTTCGCGGTAACTGGTAGTAATTGTATATCAGACATAAAGAAGTATAGAACAGTAAATCCTTTTTTCATGATGTTTTATTGAAGAAACATCTCATACAAGAATTCCTCGAGTTACGACTGGGTTCCGTTCCGGAGTTTTTGTCGTTAGTCGAGTTTTATAGAAAACAGTCAAGTCAAATTGAAGATATTGTGACAACCATTTTCCATAATTCGGTTTTGATAAAAACGCGTTTAAAGTTCCTGGCGGGGGTGCAAAAGGTGCCCAAAAAGGGATGTGCTGTGTAGAAGAGGGGTACGCGCAGACACCGCCCCATACTCCGTGTCCATCACCCCTGCGATCGGATTATTCGTTCGTGAGACCGATCGTTCGGGATCTGCAACACGGCCGATCACTTGTATACATTGTAGAGTGACCGAAAGAAGCGGGGTATACGAGAAAAGGAAGCTAAAATAATAACTGCTCAGTATACAATACAATTACTTTACAATATGTTGTGCCTAACATAATTAAATAATGATTAATCAATTATCAAAATAATGATTGTAACGAACTTCAACCTACTGAGTAAAACGAAAAGTTTAACGGTGGTAGATGTTCCGTCGTAGACCAGGAACGACGGATATAGAATCAGACGATACTGTTAACTTTTATTATTTTACTTCCTTTGTACGTTCAATATTAGATTTTTTCGACATCGGCCACTTTCAATTTAGATTTCGTTAACATAAAGGAATAATATATAAAAGATCCGAACATTTGGTCTGCAATGCGTCACGTGCACACGGTAAACCTGGGACCCATCCGTACTGGGTCTTAACGGGGCGCTCTGATTCGGAGACAATGCGGTCATAAACCCTACCATTGTGAGTTTCTTGAAAATTCATCACGGTCAAATCACGACGTGACCACGTGCGCGATATATTTCTGGCGTACACTTCGCCCTGAAGGAGAGGTTTCTCCACTTCCCCATTACTCGGGAAAACCCTAGAATTTGCCTTCCCCTTCAAAGCACAATCAATTAGGAGGCGAAATGTGGTAATGACTTCGGCGAACCTCGAAAAAGTGCGAAAAAGTTGTTTTACATCATCTCAAGAACCCCTCATTTCCGGAAGTCGAACCTTTTTTGAGACACCCTGAAGAATCACTGGGACGTCTAGCATGGAAGTGTGATAAAATGGAAAAGTAGAAAAGAATTAAGGAAAAGAAAAAAAACAACAAATAATTAGAAAGACGTATAGGATAAGTTCCTAAATATATTCAGTTTTACGGAAAATATATATAATTCAGGAATAGGTTGTAATTAGTACTATATAGTTTGGATATTCTAAGTTAAACCAAATAAGTTAGTTAAGTAAAAAGTATACAAGTAATCTAAAACATTTCTCTGCAAATATAAAAGTTAAGTGGTAATAAAGACTAAAATATTGAAATAAAACTAAGAATAAAATAAAACTAAAACATTGAAATAAAATAAAAATATCAAATAAAACTAAAAAATTGAAAAATATGTAAAATTGTTATATTTTTATGTATATATTCTATAGAATATTAGGTAAAATGTAATGTAACTATGATAAAGGAAGATAACAATACATACAATAAGTAATTCGTTCTATAAAATTTTACCAATAGAGTCAAATATATTAATGATATACAATATAACAGAATTTACAGTGTGAAACTCTACAAATTTCAGTGTTTCTTATGACTGTTTGGGAAGAACTTGCGCTTTTATTTAATGACAATACTTTCCATGGCGATAAAAGAATCATCTATTTATTATTAAGTTCCTTAAATTTTTTTCAAATGTTTTTATTGCTGTTGTATCATAAACACCACATCCCTATCGATAATTTTGTATCTATCAAACGACACAACAAATTTTCGTGACTTTTTTTCACTTACTGCTACATATTTAGTCCATATATTTACATTATTCATATTCCACAAATCAATATAAGCCAAATTGAAATCACATGCACAGATTATTATGTTGTAAATTGGAACATTTGACAAGGGAGGAGAGTCAAACATTTATATGTAGAGTATTTAATTTAAATATTCGTTTTCTAAAATGTAATAAAGATTCAGTAGTTAATTAAAATTAAATGTATTACACATAATAAAATTTATTCAATAAAAACTTGTATTCGTTGCAAGTGATAACTGATTTTCAAAGTTATCAATTGTTAAAGACGATTCTTTTACTTCTCTTTTCTTGGACAATGTTTTTGCTGATCTAAGTAAACGTTTTGACTTCCGAATTGTTTTAGATCTTTGATCGGCAGTTATACTTTTCTTATATCCACTGTGTGTAGTTTTCTAAATGTAGGATTGATTGCATTATTTTTTTGATCTTGTTGCAACCGTATTAATAAAATTTAGTATAACATAGTATGTATTTACCATAATTTTTGAACAATAATGACATTTGTATGGTGTGTCAGTCGATAGGGATGTATTTTTTTGCAGGACAGCTTCAAATCCTAAGAATTTTGTATCAAAATTAACTTTAGCTTTAATTACATCAGCGAATGAAGTTTGAACCATTAATGTATTATCAACAAGACTTTTAGTTTTCCTGATTTCACTTGAATGTTGATTTAAAGAAAAATTTAATGATTCCATGTGAGAATCGTTTAATATATTCCAACTTTCTATTGTATTATAGCATTGATTTTGCAAATTACAGATTTCTTTTCTATCTGAAACAGACTTTTCGCCACGTAGAAGAGCTATAAATATATATAAATGAGTTTTTGGTACTTTTGCTTGTAAAAGCTTTCATTATGACTAGGAACATATGGTACTTAATTTACTTGCCAATGAAATCCTTTAAATACTTTGAGAAAGATTTATTACACGAAACTACATGTTTGAAAGCTTCATCCAATTTTCTTTCAGCAAAATATTTTCTTGTCAATAGTGACTTCTCAGATATATTGTCGCCAATAGTATTGGAATGAAATATTTTCCATTGTTTTTGTGAAATTTTAAATTGCCATTCTAAAGCACAATCTTC